TTTATAGGTCTTATGAGGTATTCTAATTTATTGAGATAGTGAATTGGTGGGTTTTTGTTAAATGTGGCCAAAATCATCACAATTAAAAGACCCAACAGCTTCAACTACTTCAGTCTGTGTGTACTGAATTTATATAATACACGAGATTCAGTATTTGAGTTGAATTACTGAAATAAATGGACTTTTCCACAATATTCTAATTTATTGAGATGCACCTGTATTTCGTCTGTGTTGTTGTTACTTGCACTTCTAGAGCTTGTGCAGCTGCAGCACAGCAGACACAGCACCAGGAAACATGAATGAGGATGGGGTTAATGGAGGTCACAGAGCAGAGACAAAGTCCATGGTTTAATTTGACAGGTCATGACTGTAGTTTCTATTAGTGTTAGTGTCACACTGTCTGCTAAACCGTCTGTAATCACAATTAAAATGATCAGCTGTTTATGAAGATGGTTAGGGAAAGCTAGATTCACAAATATACCTTTAGTTACACAAAACAGTGTAAATCTGTTTTGCTGCTGTAGAGAGTGAAATAAAAGTGTTTCTGTTTAGACTAACACACCTGTGAATCAGACCTGATAAAGGATTTGAAACACTTTGATAAGCAAATTCGGACCTGGATTCAATAAAATGTTACCAAACCCCATCACATGGGTGTCGTTTACAGGTCACACAGCAGTCGTACAGAGGTCACGTGCTGATCAAATGTAGGTCATGCAGAGGTCATATGTAGGTCATGGCACCTTTGGCACTGCTGTCCAGGAAGACTTTGATGTAGGACGTGGGGACATATCCCTCTTCATCCAGGTTCCTTCGTACTCTGGTCCAACCATCTCCTTTGTCTTCTTCCACCACAGAAAGTAGTTCTCCCTCCACCATTGACAGTGTGCCTTCATTTTGACCTGCAGAGGATTAGTAACATGTTCAGACCACATGAACCACAGGCAACCAGAAGAGAAATCAACATGTGGTCTGGTTCTTCAGAATCAGTTCCAACAGATCCAATTGGATCCCTGTTACTGTCAAGGTGTAAGGCTGTAAAACACATTCAGGTGTCACACCTGCCAATCTCAGAAAGATAGGCCAACAGGAAGAATACTCAGGATATGTTCAGGGTCACGGTGGTGGGCTTCAAACATCATAAAAGCTGTGGTCACTGGTGAAGATTATCTTGCTGAAAAAAATGTGTAATTGTCATCCCATGGCACATCAATAACCACAATTTAAATTCCTCATATAGACTGGTCAGAAAGATCACTATTGGATATTTTCCTCCAATGATGCAACCCCATCGCTGCAGCACTGGTCAGTGAGGCCAAACCAGGTACGAGCTCTCTTCACTCAGAGCAAGGTAGACACACCTGAATTAACAGCTGTTTTGACAAGAACACTCAGCTGCTGTCGTACTGCTCTGGAGTGGCTCAGTGATCAGCTGCTGAATGAATGACTCAAACTGTCAGTGGGACCATCACGACTCTCCAGCTGCTGTCCAGGTGTTGTCATGATGAACCAGTTCCCCACAGTTGTTGAGCAAACACCTGTTACACATGTTCTTTAAGTAAATATACATACATAGTATATTACAAAGGACAATAAAACCGAGTACCTTGAAATGGGTAAAGAGACTTGCAGGTGCCAATACTCGGCAACAGTTCTTCATCATCAAAGTCATCATCGAACTCTGAACTACGAGACTTAAAGTGAAGCTCAGCGCCGTGGTCCTCAGTGTAACTGCCATCAGGACTAAGAGAGAGACAGGGATGGAGAGTGTGATGGGAAGAGAAAGACAGGCAGACAGACGGGTTGTGAGACAGAGATGGAGAGTGTGATGGGAAGAGAAAGACAGTCAGGTAGTGAGGCAGGGATGTAGAGTGTAATGGGAAGAGAAAGACAGGCAGACAGACGGGTTGTGAGACAGAGATGGAGAGTGTGATGGGAAGAGAAAGACAGGCAGACAGACATATAGTGAGACAGGTCGAGTCAATTTATTTAAGCACATTTAAAAACAGCAGACATTGACCAACATGCCGTTCAACAATAAAACAAACATACAAAAAACCAAATAACAATAAAAAGAATATCTAAAGCAGGTTTAAAAGCCAATGAGAAAAACTGGGCTTTTACCTTCAGGCTTTTAGACCTGAAGTGGCCACTGACAGGTCGTTCTAATGTGGGGTTAAAGCATTACACGGTTTTTGGGCTGTGACCACAAAGGCACAGTCCGCTTTGAGCTTCAGTCAAGCTCTGAGGATGACCAATAGCATCTGGTCAGAGGACAGAAGTGCCCTGGACGGTGTGTAGGAGCTCAGAGAGGTAAGATGACCCATTGAGTGACTTAAAAACAAATGCTTAAACCTTAAAATGAATCCTATAATGAACCAGAAGCCAATGAAGTGACATTAGTACAGGAGAGATGTGGTTGTGCTGACCTGGCAGCAGCATTTTGGACAAGCTGAAGTTGAGAGAGTGAGGACTGGCCGATAGCTGTATATAATGAGTTGCAATAGTCGAAATGAGAAAAAGGCAAAAATCACTTTCCCAAGACCAGAAAAAGACCACCAATAATTAAAGGATTCCCCTCCAAAATGTCTGAATACTCGTGAGTAAAGTTCTTTTTAAACTGGTCGGCAGATCACAGCACAGTGCACAGGGCTGCTCAAGTCCAGCTGAAATAGCTGAAGTTCAAAACTGGAATGAGCACCAGTCGGTAGTGGTCGGCAGTGAAAGCTGCTTTGGAATAGATGAGGTGAGCTAAAGAAGATACAGTCTAGGGGGTTAGACTCACCCACACTCAGCCAGGTTTCAAGTCACAAATAAAAAGTCCAATCCACGGGAGGTAAAGAGGTCCTTAAGGATGAAAGTGTTGTTTGCTAGCAATCTAGCATTAACCAGAGGCATCCTGGTCACAGCCAAGACACTCGCCGACTTAGATGCATGACTCAGCAGGCGCAGGTACTGCAGGTTCACTCCACCTCTACGGAGATGTGGGGACCAGGCTGATCGCTGGAGTCCAGAACAACAGGTAAAGCCAGGGAATTCCAGGTTAAAAGACCACAGAGGGAGCGAAGATAAACAGAGGCGGCCCACCGGGCTTTGATCATAAGCCAAAAACCTCTGTTTTTCCGTCGTCTGTGAGGCAGAACGCAGGCTGGGCAACGTAAGCTTGCCAGTATGTCTGACAGAAGTGGAGCCAAATATGTTTTCCGTCCTCTCATGCCATGATTAAACAGCTTGAATCAGATGTTAAGTGCTTGGCAATTGTAAACCAACAGAGAAGAGACAAGAATGAAAACTGCTGTCAACAATAAAACACTTGATCCTTGTAACAACACAGGGAGCAGATGGCTTGCGCCGTACACGGCGCCATCTTCCCTTTAGCCAACAGAAAGAGAGAGCAGCAGTGTTTCATTGCCATACCAATGACACTCCTGCCATGCCTACGCGACAGGCCAAATAATTATTTTTTTATACCATCCAACATACACTCATTTGGAAATAAGTATTTGCGTTTGGGAGTGTATGTCAGAGAACCTGACACCTGTCTCCTCCCTGCTTCAGTCTGATTTTATCTTTTTATTTCTTTTTTTTTTCTTGAAGGTTGTTTGTTCTAACTTCTTTGATTGTGAAGTAACTGGTAGCTTTGACGATTATTCGTGGCATCTTATTAATAATCTCCTTGTTTTGTGCGACCTTTACATAGAAGTTGCCAACGAAAAGTCTGGTTTAGTGCATGCGAACAAAACCCCATCATCCTTTTGCCACCGTGCCTGAAATATTTTCTAGGCAAAACAATAGACGGGTTTAACAGTGTAAAGTATATGAACAGTGAATGTCTAAATATGTCAGAAGAGGAACTAGCAAACAGATGTAACAAGCACCATCACGCTGACAAAACAATAATGAATAATACCTCTCTCTGCTGGCTGGGCTGCGGTTGTCCAGCTGCTTCAGGCTGCTGCTGCCTGGCGTTGTTGTGTGGGAATTTAAGCCACAACCTCCACCTTGTCTTGTACTGCTGTGATCAGACAGTTTGCTGTCGGCCTCCGATAACCACGCCTATGGTAGTATACAGATATACATGTTAATATAGACACTAACGTAGAGACACTCACGATTAAACAGTGACACAATAAAACACAATATTCAGATCAGCTCATACAAAATGAACAGTTTTACAAGACATGAAAGAGCAAAAGAAGTAAGAACCCAACTTCATGCACTCTGGTAAAAGGCTGTTTGGTGTGTATACAGTGTGTGAACTGTGCGTACGAAGCATGTGAACTGTGTGTATTGACAGAAAACACCTGGTTCCTCCTCAGCTCGTCCTCCAGTCTCTGCAGACTCTGCTTCACTTCTTCCAGTCGAGGCTCCACGCTGCTGGCATCGCCCATCTGAGGACTTCGTTCATAAACCTCCCTCATCTTCAGCAGAGCATCTCTAAAACACACACAACAGTACACAGCAGGTGCACAATACACAACATTAATAAAAAACACAAGCACATTAATACACAACATCAGTTGTGGTGTAAGCCTTTTCCAAGTTTTATGTTAGTCGACCTCACAAAGTGGCAATAATCACACATACACACAACGATCACATAGCCTCTGTGTGTGTGTGTGTGTGTGTGCGCGCTACCTCTGCTCCCTCTCTCTCTGGATCTCCTGGCTGATGTTGCTGATTCTGGTTTGGAGTTTTTTGCGTCTCTGTTCAAGAGGTAGATGACTGCAGTCTGCAGGACTGGAGCCCTACAGCAGGTTTGACATATTGATATGTGTTACACTCACTGACAACAACGGCTGACATTATGTGGTTTGAGATACCTTTGTGTTGCTGAGAAACAGGTGAGGTACTGACCAGTTTGAGTGACAGCTGCCCAGTGAGACAGGAGCATGAAGGAAACATCACATTTAAAACATTAACAGCAGCTCTGGGTTCATACATGTGTGAATAAATGTATTACCTCTGTATATATACAGTGGGTACGGAAAGTATTCAGACCCCCTTAAATTTTTCACTCTTTGTTATATTGCAGCCATATGCTAAAATCATTTAAGTTCATTTTTTTCCTCATTAATGTACACACAGCACCCCATATTGACAGAAAAACACAGAATGTTTGACATTTTTGCAGATTTATTAAAAAAGAAAAACTGAAATATCACATGGTCATAAGTATTCAGACCCTTTGCTCAGTATTTAAGCTTAAATGATTTTAGCATGTGGCTGCAATATAACAAAGAGTGAAAAATTTAAGGGGGTCTGAATACTTTCCGTAACCACTGTGTGTATATATATATATATGTTTCTGAGAACGTGAGAATGGAAGGCATCCTGAGTGTGTGAGTGTAATGGGCAGCTGAAAAGAGAACGAGGATAATTGAATTGACTGAAGAAATTGCAGCAAAACCTGAAAAATAGGTATTTTTATTATTCTGCCCACCCATTTCTATCAGTGAGGCCGGATGAAATAATATCTCTTTGTATAACATTATCACCTTCATGAAAGACTGTTGGATTAGACTGACTCAGTCTGAGCTAGGTGTTCCTAATAAACTGACAACTGGGTGTATATTTTGGAGCATATTTCAAATACACATATGAAGAAGTGATGTACTGTTACTCATCAGCGTTACAGTGCGTTATAAACAAGTATAACATGTCCATATAGATTTAATAACAGATAAACAGAGGGACCTAACAAAGTGTTACACGTTTTAGGTTGGACGCGAGTCACGTGCTACAGTTTACACCAGGGTGATCTAATCCAAGTCATCATGAACAGCAAAGCACCAGCTGCAGCGTTCAGTAAAAACGTCTGGTTCCCCGTGGAAGTTAATGTGGAAGAGCTTCACACATTTTACCATCAATGCAAAGGTTGAGCTGCTGTTTTTATTCTGTGAATTACAACAAACCACCGTATTCTCCCTAACCAAATTGTATTTGGCTGCCTAAACACATGAAATCAAGATGTTCCATAATTATAGCGTGTTCGTGACTGTTTCCATGACAACGAAAATGTGGTTAGTTTGCAAATGCGATATACGTTGGAGGACCTGCTGCCTATTTGCCCATCAGTGCAGGAGCTCTGTGTCAGGAGGTGTCA